AAATAAAAATAGACGGAGCTCATCCATGCACTTGTGCTAATTATGGCCGGCAACCGAGAGATGAATCTTAAACGGAGAGACATCCTTAAGCCGGATCTAAATTCACAGTACAGTACATTGTGCAGTGTATCCACACCCATTACAACTGAATTGTTTGGAGATGACATGGGAATACAAAGTGACCAAAGCAAAGCTGGCAAAGAAAATTGCAGGCCCAAAATAGTCTCSTGGGTCACGATTCCAACCGTATGGAAGGGCTGCAGGGAGTTCCTACCAGTCCAGGAACCGTGGTGGTGGCAGAGGTTATTCAAAGTATAACCCTTTTTTAGGGGAAAGGAACACCGACCGCAGGACCTCACACACCAAAGTCACGCAGGAGTGATAACATCACAACAGGTTAGTTACATAAATKAAATTAGTGAGATTATTAGACCTGAACAACCCCTTAGGGCAGGCCAATTGAGAGGACACTTGGACGAGTGGAAAACAATCACCTCAGATCCATATATATTGCAATGCAGAAGTAATTGCCCTATTTCGTTATGAAGTCACAGTATGTTTACATCGGAAAACGATGGTCAAAAACAGTGGAAATTTGGACCCATTTGTATTGTCTACAAAAGTAGAACTTCAATGAATCGTGTTTTGATATATGTCATGCATAAACGATTGTTGTTCATGTACATTTTATTTGATATGCAGTCACTCTGATCCCTTCTGGCGACCATAATCCTTAGCGTTAAAACAATAAATGTTTTGATGTGACGTCATAATGAACTAGGGCAATTGCGAACTTGAATTTGATCATGCTCCAGAGGGCAGTAYAGTGTGTTTACACCCAGAATTTAAGTTTTCACACACTAAACTACAAGCCATTGATGTAGAAATTGATAATTTTCTGGAAAAACAGATTATTGAACCATCAGATTGGGAAATGGGACAAGTTGTGTTTTCCATTTTCCTACGGCCAAAGAAAGATTTTCTTTTTCAAATTTTCAATCCAATCAGTGACATATCGCAAGTTTAAGATGGATACAATTGAAGCAGCTATCAAATTAATGAGGCCAGGATGTTTTATGACATCAATAGACTTGCGGGATGTCTATTATTCTGTACCTATGTCTCCAGACTATAAAAAATACTTGAAATTCATGTGGAAAGGGCAACTGTATCAGTTTACTGCACTACCTATGGGACTAACAAGTAGTCCGCGTATTTTC